ACAACTTTAGAGAGCCATCAGATTCCGTAACTAATCTATTTTGCAACTATATTATTCATTTCCTCATTACTGCATATTCTGTGTTATATCTTTCAAAGTTTCTAGATACTAGCTATAACTTTTAGTATACCAAAGCTTAAAGGAAAGTCCGTTATATACCTCACATAAAAGATAAAAAATAACAGACATTTTTGTTCAAAATCTATTTCCTCATACATTATCCATTTCCTCATACATAGACATATATAAACGTATCACATTTATATGTGATACATTTATATGCACAGCAATGCATTTGTATGCAATTTTTAAATTATTTCACCTGTTCGCAGAATAAAACACTTCATCTCCATTATAAAGCAATTTTTAAATCATTTCTCCTTCTAAATTGATCACCTGTTCACAGAATAAAACACTTCATCTCCATTATAAAGCATCTCCAGAATAAAACACTCCATCTCCAGAATAAAACACTCCATTTAAGAGAGCCAGTTTGGTGTAGTGGTTAAGTGCGTGGACTCTAATCTGGGAGAACTGGGTTTGATTCCCCACTCCTCCACTTGCACCTGCTGATGTGACCTTGGGTCAGTCACAAGCTCTGGCACAGCTGTCCTTGAAAAAGAGCAGTTTGTGTCAGAGTTCTCTCAGCCCCACCCACCTCACAGGGTGTCTGTTGGGAGGGGAAGGGAAATAAGTTTGTAAGCCGCTCTGAGACTCCAAGTGAAAAGCGGGGTATAAATCCAATCTCCTCCTCCTCTTCCTCCCTCAAATTTTGAAATTTCTCAAATAGGCTGTCGATTTTGCCATTACTGCATAATCGGCAAGCTTATTTTCCCACTCTTCTAAGCTTGGGCAAATGCCTGGTTTCCATTTCCAAGAATTCACCAGTTAGCAAAACTGCAGACGAATTTTACACAGACTGTTCGTACCCACCTGACCTAGCAAATGCACAGGGGAACAACAGCACTAAGTGTGTTCCAAGGGGGACGAATGATGACAAAGGTCTCCAGGCCTCACCAACACCCCCAAGACAGGGGACTACACACTCCAGAATCTTTTGGAATGTACACAAGTTTGACGGCAAAGTGTGTCCCAATGAGGAAGTAGATTTGAAAAATCACGGGACCGAACCGATAGAGTGGGGAGCAGAGGAGACGACGATCCAATCGTTACTGAATCATGAAGCCCTCTGGTCAGCCTTGGAACAGCAGAGAGGCCACCCTGCAGGGTGGTGGTTGGAGGAAGGGAAGGAAACAGAGAGAACCAACATGCCCTAGCTTGCCATGTTACATTCCGGGGGAGGGGGCGGTATTGTTAGAGCATTAGGGAGTACAAGCTTTACTGGCATAGATGATTAGAGCTAAGCTGTGGCAGGTATGGGCAGTATTGGTTCTGTATTATGTACAGTTCGATTAGGATTCAGTGTTACACTTGGGGAGTTGTCAAATGTATTTTTATATTAGCTGGAAATAGGATATTAACAAGAAGCGGGACCCGCGATACTCGGGGGGAGTATTCCTAAAGGCTCCCAGCCTGAAGAGGCAGCTCCGCACTGAGGAGGAAGCGGCTGCAGGTAAGCCTTCTCCCCCACCCCGGGCACCGGCGGCGAGGCCTGAGCGGCTCCCGGCTGCCCAGCTGCCGGGCCCGCCGTTCTTCCTCCGCCCTCCCCCTGGCGGCGAGGCCTGAGCGGCTCCCAGCTGCCGGGCCCGCCGTTCTTCATCCGTCCTCCCCCTGGCGGCGAGGCCTGAGCGGCTCCCAGCTGCCGGGTCCGCCGTTCTTCCCCCGCCCCCGGTGAGGCCTGAGCGGCCCCCAGCTGCCGACCAGCCACAGAGTTCTCAGAGCGTTCTCTGCGCATGCGCAGGGGACGCTCTCTTACTTTTGAGGGGATTTAAGTATCCCCTGTATCGTTTTTTCAACTTTTTAGATTTTTCTGCATACCTGGGGACTGCTCCAAGTGTGCAGGAAAACCTCTCTGCCCCCCCAAGTGCCGCCGATGTGCGGATTTAGAAATCCGCACACAGGGGGTGTCTTGGCTATGAGATATATAGATTGCTTGTAACGTCTTTTAAGCGCGCCTGGAGACAGATTCTCATGGGACTGTCCTTGAAGATTTCTATGCCAGGCTTAGTTAGATAGAGCGGCCATATATCTGTCTGAGTTGCTATAGAAACGCATGACGTGTGAACGAAAGGGATTTTGGGGTTTTACCTTTTCCCACCTTTGGACCTTAGTCCTAACAAAGAGGTTGACCCCCACAGCATCTCACTTCTCTAATAAAACATATCACTGCCAAAAAATGTGTGTGGAGAGTGATTTGACTGGGGACCTGACACCATCCAGGGCTTTTATGCATCCCCGCGAGCAACTGGTGCAAGGGAGGAAACGGGAGACTGCTCCGGGAGGGAAGTGGGTGGAGCCACTCCGATCGTGGCCTCAGCATGGAGGAACACCCTCGTCCGCAGCAGTCAAGCAGCGTGGGAGCGTCTGCCCAGTGCTGCACCGCTTGGCTCACCAGTCCGCCCATGTGGGTTTCCTTTTGCATCCCCCTCCCAGCCCAGGGGGCCTTGCAGTGAGGATGCAACAACTCAGAGCTTACCAGCTGCGGTCCTTTATACAGTTTACAAGAAGTGCAACCCGTGATAGTTGCGCGGGGGGGAGTATTCCTAAAGGCACCTGGTCTGCAGAAGCAGCTCCACAGGTAAGCCTTCTCCCCCCCGCCTGCTGATTCCCCCACCCGCGGGCACCGGCGGCGAGGCCTGAGGGCCTCCCAGCTGCCAGGCCCGACGATCACCCCCCCCCCCCCCCCCCCCCCCC